CAAACTGCAGGGCATTTCCTGCATTCCTTGTGTTGCTACACGGCAACTGGCAGCACTGTTTCCCAGGTCCTGCTGAGCTCTGCCCTCCCAGCTTTCCAGGGATCCTCCCCAGCTTCTCAAGCTCACCACCACTCTTGTCAGTCAATATCCCACTCAGCTGACTTATTCTCCAACTCCTTTGGGAGATTTCCTGGTTTTCAGTCTACCACCTCTCTTGACCACCTATCACAAGCATTGTGTGGAGTCTGACATTTTATTTCTTTCTCATTTTCTTTACAGTTTAAAATGTCACACTGATTCTTCCAAGAAGTTCACATTACTGCAGTCCTGTTTTTCTGAGCTGTGTCATTTTCTGCCAGTGCTTTGTAGAATTTCCCCTCTCCTTTTGTTTCTTGGTTTTACTGGAACATTTTACTCTGCTCATAAAGGATATGGAGTCTCACAAATTGTAGCAGTTCATGCCTCGCTGCTTCTGATGTGTGTCCAGCTCAGTTCTAATTGTGGAATCACACAGTTTCCTCTCGTTGGCATCCTTTGGAGCAGCATAGACCTGGATCATAGTGGAGTTGAAAGGCTGTGTTCCTGAACAAGTCATGATGGTAATTAAGTTCCCTAGTTTGTAGTCAAGTGGTGCTTTTCTGTCCCTATCACTTAGGATTGTGCCAGTTCCTCTTTTATGCTTTATTTTGTCATGTGAGAAAATGATCTCGGTATCTGCTGTCTCTCCCTTGCCTGGCCACCTGGCTTTTAAGAGGCCTTCTGTGTCATGTGGCTACCTTTGTAATTCATTCATTAGCAAGGATATTTCACCAGGGTGCCAACACAGTCTTACATTCCTGGTTCTGTTAGAAATAGAGAGGGGAGGTGATTTTTACCTGTTAGACATGCTGATAATAAAATGCTACATATAGCTCTGCCTTCCACACTTAAAAAAGGATGCGGGAGAATTTCACTGGATCAGAAAAGTTACAAAAAGTCATTTGAGGGCTGTAGGAGATGTATTCCTAGGAAATGTATAGGGAGCTGAAGGTGTTTAGCATATCAAAAGGAAGATCAAGAAGCGATATGATTGTAGTGTATGAGTACCTTCACTAGAAGAAAATATGAAGCACTAAAGGCTTTTTCAGCTGGGTAAAGAAAGGCATAAAAAGAACCAAAACCCAGATATATTCAAATTAAAAGTAAATCTGAAATGCATTTCTAACAGTTTGGCCGATTAAACATATTGAACACAGTTTCAGAGAAGTGGTAATCTACCCTTGAATCTTCAAATCTTGCTTCATGGGAGCTTCTCTTTCTAAGCAATTTATCTGTGATAACTTTGCCACATGGGGTTGATCCACTTGGGTGTTTTTTTCTCCCTTCTGATCTTTCAAGGCCTGTAAATCCAGATACACATTGTGCCTGGTAATCTTCATGTGCAGAGCTGATCCAGGGGGACAAGCCCCTATGGTTCTTTCCAAGAGATCAGCTGTCCAGGGGGATGGTTCCACTGCCCTGCCCACTACTTGTAGTGCTGGCACCAGTGCACTGAAGAGGCCATACAGCATGGAAGATGCAGAAATAATGCAACTGCTCTAAAAACTATGGTTCTCTGCAGTGTGATTTACAGCCATGCTTGGAAATGTGTCTATGGAGTTAACAGCAATTTTTTTCCAGAATTCTTCAGGTTGACCTCTTTACAGGTGAAGAAGGTTTTTTGCTTTCAGCCGCAGCATGCAGATAATAATTTCTTAAGTAACTACTGTCCAAGGTTACTATTATCTCATGCTTTCAATATGACAGCTGCTGTTCATATGCAACTTACGCTCTTCTCAAAATGATGGTATTTTTTCCTGGTCCTAAATGCGAGAAAGCAAGACAAAAATGTCTTGCTCATTCTGCACCACTTTGTGGTAACATTCAAGTTAACCTTCATCCTCAAGGCATCGTTGTCCTCCATGGAAACAGTTGTAGGTGCCATATGTCTTTTAAGAGAACATCTTAACTGATAAAAGTCAGCACTGCTAAAGCTTTAAAGCTTGGAATACTTGTGTGTACTCTCAGTAAAATGAAAAGAGGTACTGTCAACTTGAACTTTCCAAAGATATACATTTGGAAAACAGGTATTTTCCAAATAGATAGTTCAGAAGTATTTTGTTAACTTCAGTCCTTCTAAGGAGATGTAATGCAAAAAGGAATTTTGTAGTTTTCCTATTAGGATAGGATTAGTGTTTAGGCAATGCCTTGATAAAACCAGACTTCCTTCTGGTTTTTAGGTCCCATGCAAAGATCTGCTGAGGACAAAGTAGATCTACCTAAAAATTAAATTTTTTTTTAAAGGAATAATTTTTAGGAAGAAAAAATGAGAGCAAAATTGATTTTTTTATTGTGGTAAATTCAACCACTAATGGAAACAAAGTTGCAATTTTCCTTAGTGTCTGTAAATTGGAAATTCTAATCATTTGAAGTGCTGCAGATACACTTACCCCATGCTGGATGTTCCTAGAGCCTTGCCCCCTTCAAGTTAGGCACATGCACGCTGCATCTCCTGTGAGGCCAGGGGAGAGCACCTGGCATAGAGTGAAAAATGTGCTTTCATCTGACCATGTGCACATAGAGACACTCTTAACCTGGACTTCCATAAAGCACAATGGTGACACTCCTTAATGGAATAACGCTAGATTTATATCAAATTATCTAAGGGCCCTTCAGAGGATATTTTTCCTTTAAAATGCTTAAGGCTTTCATTGGAAAAAAGGTTTCCAGATCACTCCCTACCCTTTGTATGATTTTAGGAAATAACAAGCTGGTGACCGGCCGTTCATGAGATTTATCAAGCAGACAATAGAGACATATTTCTCAGGTAATCTATTCTAGATGTGGTGCTATTAGGAGTAGTTCATAGCTGTAGGAAAGGTGCACAGGTAAAATCCAATTGTCAGTGGCTTCTTTTAGGCTAAATAAAAAAATAACATGGACTGCTAATGTTGCAAAAGTGTTGTAACTTCAAGATTTGGAGAAATTCGATCTTGCAGCTGTGATGTAGACCCTGTAATTTTACATTCATTGCATTTTTCTAATGGATGTAGGTGGGTTTTTTTTCTTGTGGGAGGTAGATTTTGTTGCCTATTTTTTGAATGAGTTTAGGCTGATTCTCTAAATTTAAATTGGCTGAAGTCTCAATATTGAACCTTATTTTTGAGGGGTACCTGTTTTGAAATAAGCTATCAAAGAATATTTAGCACTGGGGGTATTTTGAACCTACTCCAGCTTTGAAAGCTTGATTACAATCTTTGTTATCTTAAGGAGAGCTTTATATTCCTTGCTGCATCCTAAATAAAAATTTGACAGTCTATGTACATGTACGAAACTTGTATTAACTATCAACCTACACTGTCAGCAGCAGCTTTTTTTTTCTTGCTTTTGTTAATTTAATTTCTCTCTTATCATCCAAAGAGTTAGAAATGGAAAGTAAACATTAAGCTCAGAATACTATGTCAGTTTGAATTTTTTTTCATTGTAAGATAATTGGACCTTGTAACTGTATGAGCTTTGCAGTAGTTTAGGCAGCTGCACAACAGACAGTAAATGTTTTTCAAAAATTGAAAGACAATTTTCCTGTAGCAAATCTGATCTGCCTGTGATAGCACAATGCTCATTTTATGAGGCTGCATTTGTTCTCATAATTGTCTATTTCCTGTCCTTAAATGCCTATTTATTCATGTCTGCACCTTTTTCTCTTCTTTATTGGCCCTGCAGTGACCACATTGTCTTTCTCTTCAAAATGAATTGACATTTTATGAAAAGAGTTTGCTAGATACTTGGTTTAGTGAGGATGGTATATCGTACATATGCTTGTCACATTAAATAAGCAGTGTTGAAAATAGATTATTCAGTGGCTAAACTTTTTATAGACTATATGAATTTATTTTATTTCACTATTATTACTGTTTTTGTTTAGAGTAATGAGTTGGCAAAACTCATTTTGGGATGCTATAAGTATTCCAAAGAGTACTTTTTCACAGGTACAGGCTGGCATTACATTTGCCACAGACACTATATTTCTATACATGCTCAGAGTTGCTATCCAGGAGAGTCGAAACTTGTGCATTATACAAATTGAAACATTAAAACTTCTAAGCTGTGCACAGACTGATTACTAACCCTAAGGAATTACTGCTTTATTGAAAAGGTTAATTGTCAGCTCTTTGATAGCAGTGATACAGTTTTTTCTTGAATGCTTTGCCTTTTATTTCTAAAGATGTTGCAAAGCTGTTTCTGCTGTCTGGCACATTTGGAGTCATTCCTCATTAGTTCAGTGTGTGGTACAGCCACAGTTATTCAGAAGGGGATAAAGCAGGGCGGATTGGCTTCAGCCACGCTGCGCCGTTAGAAGCAGTCCCTGCTCATTACAACGTGAGACATCTTATTATATAGGGGGTTGTGGCATCGGATTTTATCCTGGGTGCCTGCATGAAGCTTTGACCCTGAGCCACACACAGCTTACTGCGAGGGAGCTGAGCCTTTCAGGTTGTGCTCAAGTCAAGTTTTTCTATGCTCAGTCATCTTAATGCCATCACAATTAAGTCCACAGTTTTGTTATTTTTTTTTAAAAAGGGACTTTTACTGTTGTTAGATGAATGGTCTAAAAAATGTTCACATCAAAACTCACAGGTTTGTGTTTATATAAGAGGTGTAATTAAAGGTGAAATTTGCATCAGAAGCTGGATTTTAAAAAAGTCTCTTTGACTATGTTTGAGTAAGGAATATTGGCTAATCCTGTCTCTAGTGTCTCTACATTTTTTTTAATATTTATTCTTCACTTCAAAACAGGCTGTATAGCTTTAAAAAAAGTCAAATGAGCATCAAGGGTTAAAGCTGAAAAGTAATTTAGAAATTTTTTCAGAATATTGGAGGGAGTTTCTACTTGCTTTTTTTGTTAATCTTAATGCAAGTAAGCAAATATGCTCTTGTTTGACATGAGGAAAACCACATGCTGATGGAGAATGTGTTTCTAGGTGCCAGGTTGACCTGTCGACCCTGAGTAAAGAACAAACCCACAAGTTGGAGATGCCGCTGGAGGAGGGAGAGGGATGCCTGGTGTTGCTGGTCACTCTCACGGCCTCAGCTGCAGTCACTATGTCTGACCTCTCTGTCAACTCCCTGGAGGATGAGAAGGAGCGAGAGGAGATACTGAAGAGATATGTATGGAGTTCTCTTTTGCCCTTTCTTTGCAAAATGTTTGCCTACATAAAAAATAGCTATCATAGGGGAAAAAATCTAAATATATGTCTCATATTCTTACCATGCTTGGCCAATGAAAATCATCTAAACTTGCTATTAATGTGGAAATAGTTATAGTTGGTACAATTAACATCAAGAAGGCTACAAATCCACTTCAGTAAATAAGGTATTTTTTTTGTATGATAGTTCAGTTGTTTGATAAGGTGTCACATAAGGAAGTTAATCTTACTGCCTTGCAAGTAATTTTTACCAAGCAGATAGTAACTAAGGGGTAACCCAGTGATTGCAGTTTCTAGTGATTGTTTATGGCAAATAGTTTGAGGTGCCGATATTTTTCAGCATTTTTTGAGCATCTATTAAAAGGTAATAAAACTTTTTTTCTTCATATTTGAGGCCGGAGCAGTATTCTGTATTATCAAAACAATGGTTTTAAACAAGATTTCTCTTTCAAAATATTCTGGAGCAAATAATTTTCATTTCAAGGATCCTCACATTGCACAGAATCTGTGTAGTTTTACAAAAGCAACAGAGAGGGGAGCTCTTACTCCAGAATTTGCTAATACCTAAATCACTAAAAGTAACTGTCTCACTACACACAGAGAAAGAAAGAAAAAAAATGCTATTTCCACTTAAAATTACAAAGCTTTTATTGTACGATGTTGCCAGGTGTTTAGAAAGGCTTCTCTAGACACTCAGCCATTAAACCAAGCTCTGACTAACAAAGAGCTGCTTAATTTATTTTTAAGATTTTAAAATATTCCTATTCTGTGACTGACATCCTTTCAATAACTGAATTTAATAAAGATGTACCTTATCAGGCTGTGCAGATAACATGAAGTGCTAGTACCAATGCTATACAATATTATTCAAACAGATTAGCAGGATGTGCGCTTCAGCAAATTTATTCTGGCTATCTGCAATGAATCAGCTGTCTGCTAATGCTTGTACAACTCATACACCAGTGGTGTTATCATAAACACAGTTTAATAGAGGTGACTTAGTGAGGCTGAATATAATATTCCTGAACGAACTGAAAGCTAAGGTATTGTGCATCTCCTTTAAAAAATAATTACAATTAAGACAGTTATTGCACACTTTGGAATCCATCAGTACACTCTGTGGTTGTCAGAACAGATCTCTATAAATAGAATAGATGTCTGATGGATATGTTTTTGAGGTGACATAGTTCTTGCTACCAAGAGCAGCAATACCATATTGTGGTGGATTATTGTATGGCAGACAAGTGATACTGATGGTTTTGATTATTTCAGTAGGAGTATAGGAACATGTTACGAATGCGTACTATTAATCAGTTTAACTAAATTCTCACTTTTTTTGTCCCCAGTGTAAAGCATAATTATGTGGCATAAGATTGACTTTTTTATTCCTGCTTCTTGCATATCCATGGTGCATGTCTTTTCCTGTATATGCATTGCTGTATGCATTTGGAAACATTTATATTTTAGGAATATTGCAGAGGTGTGAATTTCTCATGTGTTTTTGACAATTGTGGTATCTACCTAGCTTTTTGATAACATCTACTGGTTTTATTAAAATAATCAGCAGAAGAAAGAAATTGCCACGTAATTGAAGTAGTTTATTTTTGCTGATACTCAGTTTGTCGTTGGTATTCATATCTCCCCTTCAGAACAAAAACGACATATGCAATTTAGCAAGATGTACAGTTCACCATTGAGTGTCTGTATTTAGGAATTTATTTTTTATCCTCTTTTAAAAAATCTAGCTTCCATTCGAGAAATGTATTTTGTACCCTTTCTGCATCCAAAAACAGTTAATGAGCTGACCTTGCCATCACATCAAATAGCCTTGGAAAATGACTCTATTACTGTCATTTAACCATTTGTAGCTGAACATCAGAGCCTTACAAATTAAACGGGCATTACTGTTTGAACCATTATTTTACCACAATTGTCTGAAAAGATTCGTTCCTTTTGGGGTGAGGAGGGGGGTGCATTAATGGGTACAGACCAAGAGAGATTGTATGACCTTTTCAGAATGGGTGTGCTGAACCCATGGTCCTCCTTGTCACAGTTTAAAAACCAGAAGAGCTAGTTTAGAGAAGTTGTTAGCATTCCATTTTTATTATGACATTTCACAGTCATCCGATTTAATGTCCCTTGACCAGATTGTCCACTGTGAGACGATGGGCTTGAAATGTTATTTAGAGCATTGATAAAAGGTGAGCAGTTCTAAGATGACAGCGAGTCATAAGGCTGGTGGTGTGACATTAATTTTCTCCATAACAGAGATGGAATAAGACGTCATGGTGACAAGCTGTCAATCAGTACTGGCCCCTCAGTGTATCTCGGTACTATAGGATGGGGTATTGCTTCTCCCATAATAGAGCTGAACTGAGATGCTCTCCCTGACAGCTGCTACAGCCATACAGAAAATATATTATACAGCCTTTCATTAAAAAAATAAAGAGGACTCATCTCCAGAGCATTTCCATCTTTTCCCATCTATTGAGGGCTGAAAAGATTCCCAGCAAATCATGGATTCCTCTGCTCTGAAAATTTCAGGCTTCAGGAATAATGCAGATTTTGAGATCTTCAACAATAATCACAAATAAGAGACAATATTGTCTGATAACACAGAGCATATGATTACTTAAAGTTACATATTTAAAGTAATGCATTAACATAATTTGCTTCATCCAGAGCCTCTGCTGTGGCGTTGTAGACATTTTCAGCAGTCTCCATATCAGGATGTGCACTAAATGAATCTAAGCCATCTGACTTGCTGGAATTAAAAGTTCAAAAATAATTATTCTGCAGGATTCTAACAGAGGTGGCAAAGTGAAATACTGCACTGGGGCTTTTTGAAGAGTGAGCTTACCAAGATGAAATTTGGAAAAAGGGGACTGTATGGCATCATAGGAAGGGGAGGCAGTCACTTGTCTTACTCTGTGTTTTGTTTTAGCTTGGTGTTTGTTTTGGTCATTGGGAAACTTGGGTAGAATGTGAAAACGGTTTTGTAAATCCTTTCGCTTTCATCATGGTATAAGAACAGAATTATCTCTGTTGTGGTACCAGTATGGTATGAAGCTTCCAAACCCTGATCATTATTATAATAAATGAGGGATGGTGCCAAGAAGCTTTTGAATTAAAGTACTGCTATCTGTAACACCATCTCTGCCACCCTTAGCTTGTAAGCACATAAGCGAGGGATTGAGTGTGTACTGATTAAAGTTGACCATCAGTATTTTGAACACATGTTTAAGAGGATTAACTTATTAAAATCGTAAAAAATTAGTGACCATTATCCTGAGATAGCATGCAGGCGTGTATTTGTAAGTATGTAGCATGTGGGTTTCTACATGTAACGAGATTTCTCGGTTCAGTATAGCATGGTTGTACTTTCACTGTAAAGAGTAAATGGTCAGTTGGGGCTTGTGAAATTAGTATCAGTGTGATTTAACTCTTAGAACTGTCTTATTAATAAAAAGACCGGGATGCATAAGATGTCTAACATCTTAATAGGTTAGTGATGCATAAACATAGTGTTTTTGCAAGCTGACATTTAATGTTTTGCTTAAGTAGCCACTGTGGTTTTAGATCCAGTGATGTTATTTATTCTGGTTTTCCATAGCAGTCTATTTTATCTATATAATAAATTAAAGAATTGTTGATATGGTGTTTTGTTGTATGTTTACTTTTTGTAGAAGTCTGGACATTGTCATAGGCAGTGGAAAAGGTTTCACTACATTAAAATTTTAGAAAAGACCACCAGCATTAAATGCATTAGTCCAGATTTTAAAATACTTCAAAATAATGGTATGTGCTAGTATGTATGACCAGTGCAAAAAACAATCGAATATTAGGCCACATATATATGATATTAAATGGATTTACAAATCCAACTTTATTCTTCTCTTTTGAAGTTCCTGCTCTAGGTTATATAAAAACTGAATGATAAAGCCAGGTTAGTTATTAATTGATTTCAGATTTAAAGTTGCATTCAATGTCCTATCATTTGAAACTCTGCAAATTTTAAATTGTATTCAGAATTAGAGACTGAGAGTTCTGGCATGTCACACTTAATTACTGCTTTACACCCAGTTTATTAGTTTTAGTTACTTGAAAAAGAGCAGCAACAGAACACACTTGTCAATCGACTTTCTAAATCCATGTTGGATGAATAAATGTGTTAGTTTACTCTTAAGGATTTTTTTCCTATTTTTAATGTTTGTAGATATTGAGGAAATTTGTGCTAAAAATGTATAGGTTTATGGTAAGAGGTTTCTGCCATGGAATTGGAAACATTTTATAATTCCTTTTAAAATCCTTTTTGCATGTAATTATTATGAAAATTATTAAGTTGTTATCCTCTTTTGATTTATTTGCAAGCTTTTCTAGGCATGTATGCTATATGCAAACGTGCATATCAAAGTCAACTACAACAAAAACTATATTGGCCCAAAGTCACTGTTCAAGGTATTACTGGAGACATCAAATGGAAAATATAAACATAGATCTCAAAAATAATTCAGGGAAAAGGATTGCTTCATTGTTTGTATTAATTTTGTTAATGCACTTCTATAATTTCAAATTTTGAAGTACATGTGCTATTAGGGTATTAATTCACTAGAATTAGTGTTATATTTAATAATTCATATTCTAATTTTTCCTTTGTAACTTTAATCGATAAGTTAAGGTTGAAAAATATGGAAAGAAATGCTGACAACTGCACATTCTTCAGAGAATGACATTTAAAAATCTGAGTATGTCGACAGAATTACCGTAATTTATATCTGGGCTAGGGAGGAGATTATTATTATTGCTTTTGATTTGTCTTTTTTGCAATCCAGAATTATTTTTCTTTTTATTATTTTTTAGAGTCCAATGATGATGTTCCATAACATCAATGATGTGGGATTTCTTCAGGTGAAGGTCATCAGGGCAGAAGCATTGATGGCAGCTGATGTCACAGGCAAGGATTCATTTAGTTTCTGTGACAGTAAATACTGTAGTGAGATTGGGCCTTTTAAGAAGTGGTTAAAAGTGTTTAAAACAGAAGTTGAAATATACATTTTTCTCCATCAGAGGTCCTGTAAAAATTACATAGAAATATCTTATTTCCTTTCAGTAGATGAAACTATACAAAATTATCAACATTTAAGCTGAATTACAAGGGACAAGGCAAATGAAAGGTGCTAGACTTAGATACAACTTCTAAGTTGTTGCCAAAAGAACCAGTTGATATCTGTCAGATATTTAGCAAAGCTGCTGTCAGTTTCAGACATTTCAAATAAATGCAGTTTGTGGTAGCTACTGCTTATTTTTTTAAGAAGGGAAATAGGGATTTATGTATTTATTTATTTTCTACTTTACATGACACAAGCTGAATGGTTAATTTGACATTTTGCTTTTCAAAATAAAGAAAAGGTATTTCAGCCATAATGACCATATTTCTCCAGAAATATCCAAGTTATCTCCTCTAAGTACAGTCACCTTCATACTGCACAAGTTGAATGGAGCAAAATGAGCTCCGTCTGTGTCCAAAAATAGCCATCTCTGCTTTAAAAAAAAAATAAAGAAAAAGAAGAAAGAAAAAAGAAATAAAAGGAAACTAGACTTACCTGGTTTAACTGCAGTTACAATATAAATGTTCTGTTACAGGAGCAGATATAGCTATGTAGCAACCTATTCACTTTTTCATAGTTTTTTTTATAATTAGTGTGACTACCAATATTTCAGATACAGTAACAGTGCAAACATTTTATTGCTGAAACTGCTCATCCAGTTCGTGGCACACAAAATAGCAGCTTCTATTTTCGGAGAGGTTGGAGAAAGGCTTCTAAAGATTTCTCACTCTGCATTGACCTTATAATCCAATGTGGTCTGAACAGAGAGAGAGATTAAGTTATTCAGGGGCAAATGGGATAATTCAGTACCTGACCTCCTTGTTCAGTCTTCAACTTTTCCAAATCAACATGTTATTTGTGCTGGTTGAACAAATTTATTGGAAATACATTTGATTCAATTAAAGATGTACAGAGCTACAAAAATTTACAGATGTTGCATTTATGTCAGCAGTCAGGAAGATGGGGAAGGACACTTGATATTTTCCCGTGTCCTGTATACTCTGTCTGTTAATAAGAAAAGGTATTATACAGCAGATACATTTTCTAAGATGGCTGTGCATTCCAGACATGACAGAAATCATTGTATATTTTGGACAAAAGTACCTGGTATTTTGAAAAGAGGACAAACGGGGTTTATTAGCAATTGTAGTAATTTATAGCTATTTTTAGGAGCTTGTGGGTATGTACAGATCTTTCGTTTAAAGTTAAACCTTGAATAATAATATTGAGAAATAAAGTAGCTATTTGGTGATTGTAGATAAATCACATTTGCTAAAATTGTGTAAAAACTTGACCAACCGCCTTTATTCAACTAAACAATACTTATTAGTCGGTGCAGAGAGTGCTGTCATCGGTGTTGTTACTTACACCACTAAGGATTGCTTCTGTGAGTAAAAGCTAAGGACTACTTCACTGTTCTTACTGTGTTGCTTTTTCAGAGTTAATCTTTTGTGCCTGAGTCTGAAATGTAGTCAGAACACCTGTATAATGTCTGTGTGGTTTGCTCTGCTTCCTGTCTGCTGAACATATCCCATTTCACTTCCAGGAATCTTGTCATGTGAAGTAATAAATCAAAATTTAATAGTTTGGGCTGAGTGGATATTTAAAATCCTTAATATTCCATCATTAAGCATAAGCATAGACAGAAAAAGATTTCTGTAATCTTTTAAGTAGTCATCAATCTTACTGCTGTTGCAAGGATTTCTTTTCCCCTTTCAAAATGCGAAATTTTTCTTTTGTTACCATACATTCATTGAGCAGCATTGTAATATTGTATTAACTCTGAGAGAATAAAGAGCAATTGAGACTCCTGTTGAATGAATGAGTAAAAAGCACAAATTACCTTTTAATTAAACGCTCAATTCTTCTCCTTTCCACAGAAAGCTCATAGCCTTGTTCAGCTGAATGCTACTACAGTAGGTCACTTCAGTTAAGCCCTTAATAAACTGTTGATAGTCAAGGGCAGTTTTTTCTCTCCCGTTTCAATAGCCTAGTGTTGGATGATGCGTGTCAAATCTTTAAGGTTAATGCAGATTTTTTTTAAAAAAGAGATGATTAAGGGTAGTGATTCAGGCCTTAGTGTACAACCCACCTCACATACACATGCATTGAATAAGGTGCCAGGGAGTGCTGAAATTTCAATTAAGTTATGGGCAGGGATGCAAGTGTGCACTACCAGTTTTGAAATGGGGTGCTGCTGGAGCATGCCATACCTGGGTATTAAATATACGCCAGGAAAGAATGAAGTCAGACTTTGTTCAAGTGACTTTGTTCAGGTGACTCAGGCACTCATTCCGCTTACAAGGAGGTCTAGGAAAGGAAGGACCACTGAGGGGTTGAGAGGTTCCCACTGATGCTCGAAAGGTCACCTTGATGCACCAGGGCATGTCGAAGAATTGCTGAGTCTGTGAGGATTTCCCCGATTAAAAACAGTGTCTTTCCATGGTAAAAACACAGGGATTCCACCAATGCAAAATTATGTTCTGTTGGAAACTGTGTTCATAGCACATACACCTTCCAGGAAATTGCCTATTTTTTAATATGATTTTTAAAACTGTAATCTAACATATGGAAAGGCATTGAGCATGGCATTTACTTATTCCTCATTTTTCTGAGAAGAAAGGTTCTATTCAATCTTCTATTCAATGCATCACTGTTTTTTCCCTAAATCCTCAGCTACAAGGAGTCATATTTTCCTGTTTTGCCATGTCTTTTCTCACTTGTGGTTGCTCTGGCAAACCTTCTCAAGGGTTTGGTTGCTTGTGGAGCCCTTGCAGATTATGATCTGTGCTTACAGTGAGATTCTTTGAAATGAAGAAATATTTGGATGGTACAGTAAAACCTAAAGCATAATGGACTCATCATGACAGTTGACTTCTGACATTAATACATACAGTTTTCACCTAACCCATCTGAAATTTGGAAAGTAGTAGACCCTCCACTGTGACATCGTGCCAGTTTAGGCAATAATCAGGTAAGTATATTCCTTCTGTAGCAGCGGGGTCAGGCATAGGTGGGTTGTACTGGAAGGCTGCTGGCTTTGCAGGCAGTGCCTGTGTCTCTTTTACTGTGGCAGACACATACCTCCTTTTCTTTGTGTCATGAAATAAAATTCAAAATCTCTGCCTTATGACTGATGAGAAGCAAGTAGGGTGGGAAAAGATGTGCCACAGTTTGATCAGTTTCAGCAAAAGTGCTATTTTCTTGCGGAATAACAGTCAGCAACTCAGATTCATTAGCAGAGCAAAACCCAAGCTCCGTAAGACGGCCTGCCTAGAAAATAGTTTGTTTTGCTGTATTTGGGCTTTAATTAAGATGTGTTCAATTCTAGCCCCCTGGCTCCCCTCACCCCCTGCCCCCACCCCTCTTGCTGTGTCACAGACCGGCGATCAGACGCTTTCAGATGGTCCAGCCCATGACTTTGACCTTCTGCACAGTCTGGCGTTCCCTGGGGAACCGTTCAGCTCATGAGGTCTGATTTCACACTTCCAGGATGCCTCGGCTCTCATAACAATGACAGGGAGACAAAGCCCTTTAGAGTGGGCCGCATGGGGACTTGTTTAAATTGGAAACTAGAGAGGAGTCAAGGAACAAGGTTACAGGCTACAGAATAGTGCTTTTAATAAAGAGCTCACAGCTCTGGTTCAGCTCAAAGAGGGCTACCTCTGTACAATTAATTGAGACATTTATCTGGAGCATCTTAGGCCTCCACTTTCTCACAGAACTATGTGATAAATATCAGCTAAGAGGCAAATGAGATGTGCATGAAATGAATTTTTAACACTTTGATTACTGTGTCTCCAGTCCTCATTAGAAGTAAATTTATTTGTATTTCTGACCTCATTATAAATCAATTGTCTGCGTCTTTTTCTGAGTACTGTGATTTCAGAACCTGGTGTATCAGACAGATTTTACTAAAGAGCTCAGTGATGTTTAGGTTTGCAGCGAAAAGCTTTTCAGGCTTCTCCTCTAAAGAACAGAAACCAAGCATACAAAATGAGGCAGATTTTTGTTTTCTTCTTATTTTTTTCAGTTTTATGTCTGGAATTCAACCTCTCTTCTAAGAAAATTCCATGTTAAAATTTTGATTAAAGTACTTGAAAGTAGGATGAAGACACCGACATGGGTAATAGTGCAGAATATAAATTACTTTTCTAAAATCTCTTCTACTTAAACTGTACTAACATCACATGTGCAAAAAATGGTCTTTGAAATTGTTCTTCAAATGCTAGGAAATGTCACACTGATGTACACAAACATTAAATTCACAAAGGTATGGAAGCCCTTGCATGTAAAATTGAAGGAATAAATTCAGAGTCCCTTTGGAAATATGGTACCAAAAGTAATTTGCTCTGTCAATTAGTACAACTAGATTTCAATATACACTTGAATCATCTCCACAAAGTACAGAAATGTAGTAGATGGGCAGTAGTCTGCAGTCGATAAAATCTCACAAGGTCGTATCATATAGGTCACCTGAAGACTTTGGTCCAATATCATGTTCTGCAAAACTACTGTTTTATTAAGTACCTGTTCTAGGACAGTAATGACAAAATTAGGATTTAAATAGTATTTTTAAAAGATATTTTATTAAAAGATTTTTTTATCTTAACCATAGCATTTACAGTTAAATTTACAGTGAAAGAATGATTTGTGGTTATTTTTTTTCCTAGAAATATTCAGTGGAGATGACTTTAACTCAATTATGACACTACACTGAATGGTCGTGTGAGATACCTCAAGCATTCATGATATCAGTCTGTCACAACATGTTTGCAGCAGCACGGTTAGAACTAAATTATAATTTCCACTTTAAAGATGGAAAACTAAGAAAGGTTAACTGACTTGGCTAAGGCCAACAGAGCAAGTCCTTGTCAAAGCTGGCATTTGGCTTGGGTCCTGTATTTAATCCATTAGATAAGGCAGCTTCTCATGCTAGTGAGCCATTCCTTCTCCTAGCCAAAGGTCAGACTGATTGCTCTGATGCAAGCAGCTGGCTGGCAGGGAGCTTGGAACATTAGCGACATTAGCATCTGCATAAGTCGCACTGCCCCCTCAGTCATGCCCAGTCTGCTCTCCAGAATCTGGCTGTCTTATCTTCCCAAAAAATAAAGGCCATTTTTGCTGTGGGGACTTGGGTCCCTAATGGATAGGCATGGCTAGAGGTAGGAGAGAACCGTAATAGCCTATGAAATATTCAAACAATATTCTAGCTTTCATAACCATAGTCAAGTTGGTTGAACTTTGTGAACTTGACTGTTAAAAGAAGAAATGGGATTGAAATCTCTTATTAAGTTTTTTTTTACTGTCCAAGACATTTTTAGTAGTCTTTGTGATTCCAGTTCAGTTTTGATAATGTAGTTTCAATAATGCAAAAGTTCATGTAATATTTAGTTTAGAGTAAATTTAGCAGTTTACTTAAAATTGGTTCTTGGTTTAGCTAATGCTGAAGTTGACTTTCTATCTGTTTATATAACTTTATGAACTGATCAGTGGCAGATAAATGTTAAGTGCCAGTCTATGTTTAGCCTGGCTCCTTTTTTTGAGAATTGTTTGAAAAGGCCGAAGTAGGAGAGTATTTGTGTCCCTGTACTGAAGCAATGTAAGTTTTCTATAGTCATGGTAGAAGTATCTGTGCAGGGTTCATTGGTATCTAGCCCAGTGCTATCTGCTGTCCCTTGTGAGTTTATACTTAGAAAGCACAGTAAGTTTTTCAGGGGACAGGTAGGTTTACCATATGCTTCTTCACTTGCATCTACTCTGAAGAGCAATTACGTCAATAGTAGTTCCTAGTAAGACTTCATGGCAGCCCTAAGAAAGAAAGAGTCATTCTACAGAGATTGATCATCTTTCTGATTTTTCATTTTCTTTCCTACAGGCTGAAATTTCAATGATTGAATGCAGAAAAGCATGATGTTTATTATTGTACACAAGTATTTTCCTCCTCTCGAAACTAGAGAATCATCTTACTGCTTAAAATATGGATGTTTCTGTATATTTGTTTACTAAAGTCTCCTTTTTTACAATATTAGCTGAAAAAATATGCAGATGACATGCAGTTTTCTGGAGACAAAAGCATGTATTTAATGGAGTTTTCTAATAAAAGGATATCATAGTAGAACTTGTACTAAACGTGGCAAGCAAGAAATGCAAATTTAAGATTTCATAGCTTTTCATCAGAGACAACTCTACTTTCTATACAAGTAAAGCTAGGAAGTGAGTGCAAAAGTGCAGTTAGGTTGAAGTCCCTCTTTGGAAGAACTGCTATGCCCTAAAATGAATTTTTTGCTAGGAAAACAGTCTGCCAAGAATCAAAAATGTATATTAGATGATTTCAGCCTCAGGGACCATTGAAGAACAGATCTATATAACTTGTCCAGAAATACGAATTGCTTTATATTCCAGTTACAGCTCTAGCATTCAGGTAAAGTTCATAATGATACAAACAAAAGATCCTTGCATCTGAATTGGTCACATGCCATTGGCGTCTCTTGTGAAAAAGCAGTACTTTAGTAGTTGAATTTGAGATGAATGTTGTATTTCAAATACCCAGCTTGGTTACAAGTGTTTTAGCATACGGAAGAAGTGCCAATAAGCAGTGATGGAGGGATTTGCATATGGGAACTTCATTCCTTCTTATATGGTAAATCCAGTATTCCTTAGCAGAGATTTTCAGAGCTGGGAAGCTTCTCTTTAGCCATGATATTTGGACCTTCCCTTGAACTGTTTCACAATATTGCATTTTATCAAATTTGAACTGCTTTCGAATGATAGAGGGGAGGAGGCATTAAATGTTGACTGTGAGTGAGGGATTTTTTCATTTCTGAAAACCATTTGTCTTTAGCTTGATTGAGGAGCTCTGTGATGTATGTTATGTGTTATTTAGCTTTCCTGAATTGATTGGTATCTATATAAATCTATAAGGAGAGTCATTGTAAAGGCACATGCCAACAGGTGCAGAAAATAAATAAACGTAGTAAATACCTTCTCATTGCTTAGAGAAGATGGCTTGTATATGCTGCGGTGCATTTTCTTGTGTCTATTATTGATTACTAAGCTCAACTCACATTGTACCACCATAAGCAAGAATGATTGATAATACTTTAAAAATGAGATAAACTAGCTTACCTGCTGTGCCAGCACTGCCTTTTTATGTTAAGTATCTTCTGGGTGTTTCTTTTTCAAATACTGAAACCTAAAGAACTCAATATAAATTGTTTAAGTTTCCTACCACCTTTTAGCCTTGTGAAGTAGGAGAACATTGAGAGGTGTGATATATCCATCTCTGCTGACTAATGAATTGTATAATTTTTCAAGATAATGGAAAACATTCATCAGTATATTGTTTGCTAGAGAAGGTAAACATCAATTAACTGTAATTCACAATGTGTTTAAAATAATTATTCTTTATCATACAAGTTAATAATATACACATTAACCTCTGATGTAGTCAGAATCAATACTGCACTTTGGGAGATGGGATCCCTGGACAGCTTTGTCTAAGTATTGCTTTCTTTGCCACATGTGTAAGGTAAGAAACAAATTATGTGCCTCCCTAATATCATTAATGTAGCCCCATTAATGTAGCTATTCAATTTATAGCTTCTTGTAATGCATGACAAAGTATTACAGAGTTATTGAAGACATTGTGAAATACAGTTGCTCAGTGTGCTCAGTTTGATTGTGGAAGGCCAATGCCAATATTCAATACCTTTCAAACACATTGCTGCCCAAAGTACAGAAACAGGACTACTATGCTGTAGTATGCAAATCAGTTGTTAATTTCCATCAGACAAAGTTCCCTTGGGTTCAGGGAGCAGCAATTTATTCTTCAACTTTCTACTTATGTATTTGTATTTTTACATGAAAATAATGTGTACACTTGTATTCTGTGCCAAAGGCAAAGTTTGCTTCCCTCAGTTACTGGAGAAAATAAAAATAGGTATGAAGTATAGCATCACTCTGTTTTGGCCAGCATTTATAGCAGTTGTCATTACTGTCATAATTTGAAATATGGGTTAAAGAATTTACTCCACAATGTGATTTCTTTCCTTTGTTGCCCCTTTATTGCAGCTGTCTTCCCACCATGCTCCTTATGTTTTCATTACAAGTCTTTTCATCATAGCTGTTCCTCAGGTCTACCTCACACCACCTTTTTACCCTTCCAGGAAATTTCAGGATTGCCCTGAAACCCTGGAGATATCAATCTTGTCTTCTTTTGCTTCCTCCCTATTTGGAGACCTTCTGTTTTACACAGCCAAGCTTTTGTTAAGCATCAGATTCAGGTTTCTACTTTTCTTTTTATCCTTTCCAAAAACAAACCTTGAAAAAGCTTAGTGTAAGTTTCATGTTTTACCCCCTAAACTTGCAGTCAGGATGATTTTTCTTGCTCTTTGCTTGTTATCTAAGCACTGCTCACCTGCAGTCCTGTGCTATAAGCTGTTTATTTCACATTTAAGGACACACATGCACACACACACACACTTGCTTTCCCTATTCCTTTTCTTTAGATAAAAAAGAAAAATCAACCTCCGTTTCCATTATCCAGCTTCCATTATCTACATATTACATTTTCAAAGCAGCATCTTCATACTTTTTCCTGTGATGGATTTCATGCTGTGGGACCTTCTTGTAAATATATGCAAAGCTACTTCATTGTGCTTTAATGTATACAAAAATCACAACCATGTTTGACCTTCTGCTGTGCTGAGACTACAGCCCATCATTCCAGCTGATATCATCTCATTGTTTAATTGCTCTTGCCACTTTCTCTGGTGTTAGGCTTTTATATGAGACTCTCTTTAAGGCTTTTTGATTTTGGGGAGAGGAATTTTACAGTGTAAAACATGTAGGGCATAATAATCTTTGGATAAGTCTCATAGGTGCTAAGTTATTACAAATAATATGGAAGAATACATTTCCTTCATATCAAAATGCTCTAATTATGTTATCATTACAGTCAATGGAGGATTGGCACCATTAAAGTAAAGTTCTCTTAGCTGTCTCAGAAGGGTTCTTAGCACCCTTTAAGAACATGCTGGTTTTTCAGCAGAAAAGTCTGTATAGTGATCTTTTTTCTTTTTTTCTTTTTAAGACAAAAACATGGGTTTTTTTTCAAAGAGTGTTAATAGATTACGGAGATGAGCAGCCTATTATGAATATCTTGAATATAATGCACCCCATAGGACTTCCTTGAATTAATTCTTGAGGGAATTACAGTGCAGCTTAGGAAAAGAGAAAAAGAAAACAAATACTTGTTATTTAAACCTTGCTCATTGTGTGTTTGCTTAGTTCATAAATTTCGTTCCAAATTTTTTCTTATAGGAAAAAGTGACCCATTTTGTGTACTTGAATTGAACAATGACAGACTGCTGACACATACTGTTTACAAGAACCTCAATCCAGAATGGAACAAAATCTTCACATTGTAGGTGTTTGGATTTGGGGTGGGGGATGAGGGGAAGGCAGCAGGTGTTTGGAGTGGGGGAGGAGGCAGGACGTTTTTTTGAGGGGGGAGGGTCTTGGAAAGGAATAAAAGATACTTGCTGGCAATTCTGAAAAAAAATAGTGATCACATAATGATATTTCTAAACTAAATATCTGAATATTTTTGTGAGGATTAAAAACATGAAAAAAGATGAGAGAACAGGTGTCATTTTAAAGGTTAAAAAGCCAGGTCTGTTTGTTGGAAACCAGGTATGAGAAACGTTAAGCATTCCAGACTCCTGCCAGGTTCAGTGAGAGTTTCAAGGCCCAAATCCTGTGTGTTGTATTTGACCCTGAGGTTTTGAGTGAGAGAAAAAAATATTGTGATTAGAACCTTCATTAAAATGTGGTTGCTAACTTTAAAAAACATTCAATGACTATATAAAGGTAGATATTCTAAATGCCTTCATAATTCTCTGAATTACGATCAAATACTTTTCACTTCTTTTCATTTACCAACTGCACATCTCACAATACCATCTAGTATCATACTAGTACAATGCAGCAGTTGGATAAAATGCAGTCTGAAACATTTAGTTCATCACAAAGTGATGTGATTGGCGTTTTTTATCTGTTATTTTGAAGCCAGTAAAAGACTTTCACAAAATAGATGTCTTCCACAACCACAAACCAAAAAACAAATGTCCTTGTTGCTTGCTGTGCTCAGTTGCAGCCTTGTCCTCCCTTCTTCTCTGCATCTGACTCCAATGTGACAGCAATAAGTAGAAAAAACTGATCACTGCAGGTCTTGCTGCTGCAGAACTAGTAGAAGCTTTAGCTTTGTGTACACTTACTTCACTTCATTGTAAACAAAAATGCTATATTTTGCCTGTGATCTCAAAACTCAGTCTGATTTTAATTTTGGGGGTTTTTTTAACCTCTAAATTTGTCATTCATTTATTTGGCATCCACAGCAGTGAGCTCTCAGGAATGAACTCAGAACAAAAGAAAAAGTCTCATAATAGTTGTACTTTTCAATAGCTTATTATTGTACTTCTCATTTCTGTGTCTGCAAAACCATGCTAAATTCTTCATTTATTTCTTTTTAATTATATACTAATACAGCCAATAACCAGTCATCATCGTCTTCTGCTCGACAGTGTTCTCTGCATAAGGATTTGCCTGCATTTGTAGAGGACAAAAGACTAATCAGGAATCAAATAGAAAACATCTAAAGGGCTTCAAGGCCTTTCTTTGATGTATATTTGCATTGAGTATTTTATTTATCCTCAGATTTGTTAATTAATTTTTGGGCTAGCAATTGCTAATCTGGAGGTGTATATTTTACTGAAGTTAAACTGCATTGCTTAAATTCATATTTCCGGGATCAGCCATTTGATCAAAGATGAGTTCTCTCAAATAGTTCTTTTTCTCCAAATAAGGAATTTGGATTTTTCACTGGAGACTTTACAATTTACAATGATATTGCTTGTGCATGGCTGTGGAATGTTTAATAGCTTGCAGGCTTTTCTGCCTCAGTAGTAGTTGAGAAATGTGTTGTTCCACATTGCTTGTTCTTTATTTGTTATAATAACTGTTGTATATTTTTAATTAAGCAAAGATTTCAGAATTAAAGATCTTGTTCTCCATGCAAGGTTATTGTCTTGCAACTCAAAATTATTTCCATTTACAAACCTACAGATTTTACAGTATTTGCAGTAAGAATTGCCACAATGGTAGCAGTGTTTAAGGGATAGCCTTTTAAAGCTCTCAGTCCTCCTTCTGGTGGCTATAAATGCCCCTAGTGCTGCTCCTTGCAGATCATGCAGTGCAAACCCCAGGTAGGAGGTTTAAAGCAACATTCTTCAGAAAATTTCTGCTTGAGAGCAGAACAGCCGTGAGGCAAATAGAGAAGAAGAGAGAGAGATAGAGAGAGAGAGAGAGAGAGAGAATGAGCAATCACTGCAGCCCTTTCAAAGCATTTTGGTTATAGTCAGGGATGCCTCATTTACTTAGGTCCTCCATTGCTTGGAAAAATAGATGGGTATCTGTGCTAACCTTTTCAACTTTTGTCCTTGGTACCTGCTGGTGTAGGTGACTTCTTTTTTCTGTGTGTGCTTCTCCCTTTGTAGCAATATAAAGGATATCCACTCAGTTCTTGAAGTGACAGTTTACGACGAAGACCGCGATCGAAGTGCTGACTTTCTAGGCAAAGTTGCTATACCATTGCTGTCTGTAAGTTTCATTCACTTTATGTTTTTTGCCCCTGACATTCCACTCTGAATTTTTTCTTGCTGAAGGGGGGCAAAAAGAGAAAAAAAAAAAAAGATTTGCAGCTCTGTGTCTGTCATTTCTCAACCAAGGTCTGTAATAAGAACACTAAAATTTTAACATACTCTATTCACGGCCATGTTGAATCCCATGATAGTTAATTTTTCCTGACAGACTCGATCCTGGTAATGAACAGGTACTTGTCAGACTTGCCACAGTTGTTTTGGGTTCTCTGTCAGTTTCAGCAGCTGGGGGTCAGGGGTCACCGGGGGGGGGTTATTCAGCGGAGACTGTGAGACAGACGGCTGTCATGTCCTTTTCCTGCAGATTCAAAATGGTGAACAGAAAGCCTACGTCTTGAAAAACAAGCAGCTGACAGGGCCAACAAAGGGGGTCATCTATCTTGAAATAGATGTGATTTTTAATGCTGTAAGTCTTAACTTTGGCTTTTTTGTACTGCTAAAGAGTTCAGTTTCATGAAAGCTTTTGTTCCTGATGTGTAGAGAATTTCTGTCATTCCTCATTTTCTCTAAACCTTGATGTATACTGCAGAATACTCTTCTGCCACTGTCTGGCACACGCCAACAAAGGGGGTCATCTATCTTGAAATAGATGTGATTTTTAATGCTGTAAGTCTTAACTTTGGCTTTTTTGTACTGCTAAAGAGTTCAGTTTCATGAAAGCTTTTGTTCCTGATGTGTAGAGAATTTCTGTCATTCCTCATTTTCTCTAAACCTTGATGTATACTGCAGAATACTCTTCTGCCACTGTCTGGCACACCCACTCTTTTTGTCTACCACTGCTCTGCTACCACTGCTGCTGCAAATGTACAGAGCAGCAACTCATGTCTCTGCGTACACTTACGTGTTACGGGCTTGGCAGCCATGACTTTGAAACTTAGTAATTTTTGCAAATTGAAGCATGTGTTAGTAGTAAGGAGCAAGTAAGTTTGAAATGCTGATGCAAATTTTAATGCACAGGTGAAAGCGAGCATACGAACCTTAATGCCCAAAGAACAGAAGTACATTGAGGAGGAAGACAGACTGTCTAAACAGGTAAAGAGTAAAGAAACACTAATCCCTTCCGAAATCCTTAATATCAGGTGTGCACATCCAAATATCTGGTATCATATTGCTGAGGGTAAAGAATAACATTTTCATTACATGTTTACAAAAGAATATGATAGGCTGGAGAAGGCAGAAACAAAATACATGGGTTTATTGTGTCTCTTCTATAAATTCTAGCTTGATTTTCATAAAATACATGAATAAGAACACAGTTGAAACCATCAGGTTCCACACATATCAGATTATCACACAGGTGCATGTAATCTAAGTCTTGCATAAATTTTTGCTGTTAACCTTGACCCGAAGGTTCTCTATTTGTTGCAGGGTAAAGAGTCTTTCAACATTCTTTTAACCAAATTTTAAGTAAGTTAATTGAGTAAGGTTTTTATCAAAGATGAAAGTAGGCTAAAACTCTTTATAACTTTGGAGAGTCCCGGGGGTAGAAAATGTCTGGTTTCTTTCTTTTTTCTCTGGAAATTTTTGCTACATGCAATTTAAATGTTTTGGTAAAAAATATTTAGGCACATTTTTCTCCACTTAAACTGCTTTTGATTCAGTTCTTTGTGTTCTACAAATGATGTATTTTATATGGAGAGAACTGGGCTTTTGGTTGGACTGTGGGAACAAGATTTCTGTTGTTTGCAGTGAGAAGGCAGAGGTCTCGGAACTGTTTTTCACTTTGCTGAAAGTTTATAGACTTGAGTGTAGTTTAAATTATTTGCTGAATGAATTTTTTAGCAGTTTTTGATGTAGTTCATAAAATAACATTTCAAGAGGCGAAATATTTCTTTCCTTATTGTTGGGAGTAATGTGGTTACTAAAGCTGCATTTTGCACTACTATTCCAGCAAAGAAGCAGCAAGCCCTTTTACTTGGGATTCATTCTTCTCCCCACTTTCATAACAGCAAATGGCATTGTGACTTTTGCAGATGGCAGGAGGAGTAAATTTTAAATACCTATCATTTTCTCTGCTATTCAGTATGCAAATCATTCACTGGTTTGTTCACTTTTTCTAGTCAAGTGTATTGCAGTTTTAGAGGATTTATTTTCCTGAATCAAAACCTAGAGCTGTTATGACTCATGTCTATGTAGTTTGAAAGTATGCAGTTAAAGTTACTTTGGCAAATACTTAAAAGCAGGCTTTCAAAATACATCACAGCAGACAAATTTGTTACAAATGAAGGAAAAAATAAATGTGAAGGATGCAGATGATCTTAATTAGGCTAGAGAAGTAATTTTTCATGGTTTTGAGTTAGTGTCCTGCAGCATCTATATATTAAGAAAGGCCAAAATTTGTTAAGAAAAGCTCAGTAAAACTGTGAAATCTAATTAACAAAGTAATTTGTGAATTTTTGCAAGTGGCTTTTTAATGTTGAGCCATTTGTGTACCATTTAGAATTAAATTCAACAAATATCAATTGACATAACTAACAGTTTCTCCTAAGTTTCAGATTTTAAACTAGCTTGCCTAATTTGTGGGCTAGAGAGCTTGGTATTTTCTCAATCTTCACCCAAATTAAAAATCACAGTAATCATGAGTCTCTTCTGAAATGTTTTGGAGGTTTGTGACATTTGCATTCTTTAATCTTTTTAACAGCTACTGTTAAGGAACTTTATCCGGATGAAGAATTGTGTCATGGCACTCATAACTGCCGCCTGTTATGTTAGCAGTTGCTTTGACTGGGATTCTCCCCCAAGAAGTCTTGCTGCTTTTCTGGTATGATCTTCCTTATGATCTTTTTTAGTCAACCTGGTGTGTTTGTGTTCTAGACTGAGAGACAATACAGTGTAGGTGTGAAGTTTATTTTTTCTTCTTAATTTATTTAAAGCTTTGCACTATATGTGCAGGTACTGTAAATTATGTTTATTCAGTTTTTAAAGAAGTAATTGAGTATAAAATATCACATAAACAAGATTGAGTGGGGATTTTTAAATTTATATCTGTATATATATGTGAGTGATCCAAATAAAAAAAATGGGGTCAGTGAACTATGAATAATGTATCTTGAGCTTCTCACAAAGTACTTCCATTAAAATTTGTTTGGTCTCCTTGTTTATCCCTTATTTACTCTTAAATGTGTTTTTTAATATTTCTGTATTTATTTACATATAATTAATGTAAAATTAGTGTTATTCTGTCCTCCATGTATCAATACATGTTACACTTGTAACTTTTTCAGAAGTACAAAGCTCTGCACCCAAATAGTTGCTTCTGTACTAAGCGGTAGTGTTCCTGTATAAAACACCAAGCAAACAAGATCAACTTTAAAAACATTAGTGTAAACAACCAGTACCTTTTAGGCAGCAAACTCTGGTCATAGTTCAGTTTTTGGTGAATTCATTTTTAGCAATTTAAATGAAACGGCTATTTCTCCATGAGGATTAGTTTCATTAATGTTAACCTTTATTTTCCTGTTAAATCTTGAAAATTCCAAGCATAATTGTAAATTACATTGTGCTTCCCAGACAAATACATTTTTATCTTCAAAATCATAAAAGCTACAAACAAGACCAGAATCCCCTTTTTCTTCTCCATGATGAAGTCCACCAGGACTTATAATGTATGCATGGACACACTTTCTGGAATATCTGGATTTATTAGGTCGGTTGAAATACTGAGCCTATGAGCCTCTCTACCATGAATATGAACAGGGAATGATTTTGGTCTAACTCTGAATAATTGTAGAGGGAGTCTAGTGACAGTACTCCTTGCTTGAGTGCCTGAAGGTCAGGTGCCTCAAATTTGGAGTGATCAAACCAGGCATTGCAGCTGGCTTTGCAGTAAAATGGGATAGCTATGTGTATCACTATGTCATGCTGTTTTGCAGGACATTTCCTCAAGCAGGACTCCATTTGTACTATGTTACTTGCTAACCAACCTTTTGCCTGCCAAGGGATGGCAGCACATTGTCGGTCCTTGGTTGCAATTCTCATAAGGAGTGCAGGAGATACATATGCTATTCAAAGAGTCAGAGGGTTTATACTTTTACTGATGTCTGTAGTAACAACCAAGTGCAAAGATATAAATATATACCTGCTACTGATTACTGTAGGGAGGCAATCTCTCATTTCAGTTAAAAATTATAAACATTCTAATGTTCAAATGCTATTACGGCTCCAGGGAGTAAGTGCTCATCTCTCTTAAGTCTGATTTTAATATGGGGATGGAACCTGTTACCAGTGGAAGACAGGAAAATGGAAAGACATCCTATTCTTTGGGGCAAATGAAATTATTTTTTGCCCATGGAACACTGCTGTGGCCATGGAAGAAGTTGTGTTCCTGTTAAACTGTAATTGTTTCTGGTCATGGAAATTGCGGTGTGATAATAAGTGATTGGAAATACATAAAATGTGGAATTTGAGCAGAGAGGTCTATAATCAGTAGACATCATTATTGTAGTTACAGCATAGAAACATGTTCCTGATTTTATTTTTATATATATATTCACGTTTTACATAGCTATCTTTATAGAGAGAGATATATATCAGAAGACTGATTTTCTTAGTTTTGTTGCAGAGTTTGTTTTGCTGTGTAGTAGTTGCATTAGTTATGGATATACTACATTTATATCAGTGCTGTGACTGCACAGACATATTCCTGCTCTGCATCCAAAGTGTGCATCCTGTGCTTTTCAACCTGATGTTATTCCCTCCAAGGATCCTCCCTCTGTCAGGCAAAAAATGTTTTTGCTAGCCAAGTCACATATATGTGAATTTCTATCATGATCAATAAGCTTTGGATTTAGATGATTTCTGGACTTTCATAGGCCCTTGAAGTCTCAAGAGCAGTCCACTTGCACATGTAATGCTGAATTATGCTTGCACTAAGGTTACATTTGAATTTAATAGAGTGTATAAAATAAATGTACTTGTATGTATCATTTTAATCTCTTCACTATTATACAAATCATATCTCCTCTTGAAGTTGTCTCCCAGAGGTTAGAGAATGTCACAGTGAAATGTCAGTGCCAGAAAGGAGATGAGAAATAGGCTGTTCTGGAGTTTTCCAGCTCTGTAGGCAGACTAATATATAATGTACAAGAAGTAAACTTTAAAAGTGACTGTTTCTTCTATCCTGTTGAAGACATACCTTTGTGGTTAACATCCTGATATGAATTTGCAGCCATTTCATGTGGGTTACACATATGAGGTTTGGTATTTCAGATCTCCCAGTGCCCCAGGTCCTAGGTGTTACAATTACAGGTGTTTTTGTCCAGTACCATACACCATGGCTTTACTTTCTGGTGGGGATACACAGGACAAGAGGTGATGAAATTCTGGCAGACTAGCTCAGTTTTCAGAAATGTAATTACTAAGATAGATCTGGAAAGGAGAACTACTCTTGGAAGCTTACAGAAAACCTTGATTTGTGTGGTGACACTATAATAAGCTACCTGCTTTATACACCTATACACTCTACACTGCAGTTCTTTCTAAAGTCATTCTATTTGGGGAGTCACAATGTTAGTCATCAAGACTAAAAGTGTTCATTGAAGGGGCTTGGTGATTATTTATACTCCAGAACTTTGGTGTCTCAAACCTTTCCATTATTTGGGACATTTTAGGCAAGGAAATGCTGTATTAATGATTTAGGATAATTCTTTCTGAAATCTGTCTAAAGGCATGAGCTTAATGGTTGGTGTTGCCCATGCCATACCTAGAGGTACAGAAACCTAGAAATCAAATTTTCAATGTTCTAGATTATGCATTTCCTCTACTAAACAGTATTTCACCTCTTTGTGTTAAACTTCGTAAGCCTTCACTGGGGGTTTTGTCTGAATTATGTAAAGTTTTGACGGAATTTTGTTTTTTCTGTGCCTCAGTAATTCACAGCAGAAAAATTGCTACCCATACATAATTTTAAAAGAAAATTTCATGCTAATATAACTGTGAAATATTACTAGCTGTTATTTCTCAAATATTCATAGAATCACAGTCTCATAGAGTTTAAGGATTGGAATGGACCTTACAGATTATACAGTCCCAATCCCCCCTGCCATGGGCAGGGACACCTTCCCACTAGACCAGGTTGCTCGAGGCCTCATCCAGCTTGGTCTTGAACACTGCCAGGGTTGGGGCAGCCAACTGCCTCCCTGGGTAACCTGTTCTAGTGTCTCACCACTCTTACAGTAAAACATTTTTTCCTAATTTCTAACCTAAATTTGCCCTCCTTCAGTTTGAACCTGTTAGCCTTAGTCCTGTCATTGCACTTCCTAACAAAGAGTCCCTCTCTGGCTCCCTTGTAGGCCCCTTCAGATGTTGAAAAGTTGCTATGAGGTTATTCAGAGATATATGCAAATAGCTCATGAACCAGAAGTTGAGCTGGCTAGCATGTGACTTTGGATTCAAACTATCAGAAAATTTTATATTCTCGACTGCTTTTTCATATTAATATCCTGTTAAATAAAGGAAGTGCATAGCAACAAGGTTAAATTAATGTTCCTATTCCAGAACAGCTTTATTATATCATATAGAGCTCTGTTATGTCTAGAGGCTGATCAAAAATGTAATGTATTTGTGTTTATGCTTCTCAACCACCTAAATGCAATGGAAAAACCAGAATATATAGGGAGAGCCTTTGCCATAAATTCACATGGTTTTCTGTATTTAAAACAGACCTTTGAATTATTTAGAAGTTAATTTGTATATATCTTTTTTAATTCAGTAATTGATATGGTATGTTTCAGGCAGAAGAACTTTCTTAAAGTATGCAAGAGTAGATGTTTTTTCTTCAGATTAATCCACTGTGAGCATTGAAATGTCTGCTAAATTGGACCTAATTTCCATCAGCTTCTTGACCAGACATTTGTGTTCTTGAAGGTGTCAGATGGTGCAACATAGGGGAAAAAACGTGTATATTTTTTCCAATGCTGCCATTTCTCACTGTAATGAGCACAAAAATAATTGGACAACTGAGCTATCAGTAAAAGGACACACTTGTGAGTCAATGAATTATTTTATGGGACAAACTTTAATCTTTAAATGCGATTGTAGATAATTTGTGCTACTGTCTGTCCATTTGGAATTCTTTTAGCCTTTTCAGTTATACAGTAAGTACTGCTGTGTTTAACATTAACATTTGATACACATTTAATTTCTGTAGTGCTGCGTGGTCCTTTGGGAGCTTTACTCTAGTGCTACATAAGAGAGACAAAGTATTGATCAGTTAACATTTCAGCTACATTTATGTATGTCGCAAAATTAATGAAAATGCCAGACAAAAATGTCAGCATGCACAAAAAGGTAGAATTTAAATTTGGTAGTTTAATGAAAAGTTTAAGATGTGCATTGTCAAAAACGTCCCCTTGCCTTTAAAGTGCAATTCATAACTGAGTAACTAAAGGGAACCATGTATTCTGCTTAGAGGAACACTGAACACAAACTATGAAGGAATATATAATCTTCAAAGTGTTTGGCATCCAAAAATGGCCCCAGTAAAGTTCTAAGTTGCCTGCTTGAACATTTAACTCTTACTCATAAAATAAACTTGTTTCTGTTCTCACTTGGAAGCAGAGCGCCCTCACCCGCTCACACACATATTTCCTCAAATTAGAGCTTTTTATGAACATACTCTCCTATTCCTGTTCTTATTCCTCTGATTCTTTCTACACGTGTACATGCATGCACATAGAAAATACTTTTCTTTCTTTCTTAGCTTTTCAGACTTTGATAAAATGACTCCCTGCATCCAAGGATTTGTAAGGTCTAACTGAACTTCACTTT